ACACTGTAGCTGTCTTTAGACACACCAGAAGAGGGCATCAGATCTCATTACAGATGGTTGTGAGCCACCATGTGGTTGCTGGGATTTGAACTCAGGACCTCTGGAAGTGCAGTCAGTGCTCTTAACCACTGAGCCATCTCTCCAGCCCCAGAATCCCCATTTTCAAACAAATAAGCAAAAAATACAGGGGCTGGGGAGCTGGCTCAGCTGACAGTAAAATAAGCACAACCTGAGTCTGGATCCTTTGCACCCACTTAAAAAGTCAAGTGCAGCAGTAAGTGCATGCCTACAATCCAATCCCAGCTCTGGGGAGGCCGAGTCAAGAGATGTCCTAGGGCACGCTTGCTAGCCAGTCTTAGGGAGATTCAGATTCAGCAAAGGATTTTGTTTAAAAACACACACACACACACACACACACACACACACACACACACGAAGAAAACTACCTGTTTAAGACATTATGGAGATCAATAAGAAAGTACCACACTACACCAAGAACGCCTTCAAGCCTGCCAAGCAGTGCATAACAAAAGCCCATTGGAGGGACCCCACATAGGAGGTGCCCCACGTAGGAGGTGCCCCAAAGCCAAGGATGGGCCAACTTAATGAGCCATAAGCTGATCACAGACCTGTACCGTGGCCTGACTTGTAAGCAGGAGCTGTGTGCTTGGGGAGTAGAATTTTGAAGCTGAAAGGATACTGTAGGAGCCCTTGAGGCAGAATCTAAGCCAGGAAGTAGTACTGAGTTAACAGATACTTAAAAATAGCAAACCGTCTTGTTACTGGTCTGGGTTTTTTTTTTTAATCTTTAATCCATTGATAACTGTAACAGTATAAATATCAATTTAAAAGGGCCATATTTTCACTAAACAGTTCACTATATAAAGGCATATTTTCACTAAACTAAGTTTCACTACACAGTTGCAAGCTGTTGAAGGGCTTATAAGTAAATGTAAAATACATATATTACATAGAAATAAATATTGAAAAAAAGTCCACTTGGTAGTCATGACACATGCTTTCAATCCCAGCACTTGGGAGACAGAAGCAGGCAGATCTCTGAGTTCAAGGCTAGCCTGGTCTACAAAGTGAGTTCCAGGACAGCCAAAGCTATACAGAGAAACCCTGTCTGGAAACAGTCAAAGCCAAACCAAACCAAACCAAAAAAGAAATCACTTCTTCTGGCTTGAAAATTCTTAATCTCTAATTCCACTCTACACAGTAAACTACTGACTATTAAATTTAGTGCCATCTTTCTAGCCTTTAAACTTATGGTAATGTGGACCCTAAAATACATTTGAACTTATGAATCCATAGCAGATCAGAGGGACATGGAAAATATCATCATGTTTCTTGATCACACATGAAGTACAGAGCGCTATCCATGAGTTAGGCAGATTTCTTTTTCAGTACTGGGGATCAAACGCAGTGTCTGGAACCTGAGGGAAGTGTTCTTTTTCTACCAATATGCCACATCCCAGGCCCCATACAGCACCAGCTATCAAGCATTCACAGCAAAAAGATAAAACTGAATCTGATTACATATTTATTCCTTACTCCTTTTATAAGAAATATGGGGACGGGAGGTGTGAGCTGCCAGATGCAGGTGATGGGGACCTGAGGTCCCCAATAATAGTATTTGTTCTTAATGCTAAGCCACCTCTCAGTGTGGTCCAACACACTGATTTTAAGTAAGTCTTTTCAAACAAATGGGGAATTAAAAAATTTTTGCTATAATTTATTTTGTGTGTGCAGGTTATACACATGTGTACACGTGAAAGTTTACAGGACAACTTCTTTTTTTTTTTTTTTTTGGTTTTTCGAGACAGGGTTTCTCTGTATAGCCCTGGCTGTCCCGGAACTCACTCTGTAGACCAGGCTGACTTGAAACTAAGAAACCCTCCTGCCTCTGCCTCCCAAGTGCTGAGATTAAAGGTGTGTGCCACCACCGCCCAGCTACAGGACAACTTCTGAAAGTTGATTCTCTCTACTCACCATGTGGGTTCCAGGAGTTGAACTCAGCCTTAGTGACAACCAGCTCATGGGCGGTGAAATCTTAATATGTTCTGGGTATCACATGACATTAGGGAATCATTACGGGATTTCATGTGTTTTGAGTGAGGGGTCTGAATGTGTTAAAGGCAGACAGCTCACACTCACCCAATTCAGTGATCTCACCTCACCTGGTTTTCACTGTGTTGCTCAGCCTGGACTCAGCTACCCCTCCTACATCAGTCTCCTCAGCAACTGCACCTAGCTCACTGCTATTTCTGAAAGGGTGTTATATGGCCATAAAACATAGTTATGTTCCTTTTTTTTAAGAGATTCAAGCTGACGTCAGCTGGATTGAATACTAATACCGGGGATTTCCTGGGAATGAGACAATTTAGTAGAAAATAATAAAGGGAAAGGGTGAAGATTAAACAAGTATGGACCCTGAATAATTACAAATTTTGGGTAACACATGCAAATAGATATATTCTCCATAACAATGAAAATAAAACACTGTCCAAGGCAACTTGGATTGGTGAGAAAACTCTAAATTTTGACATCAAAATTTGTACTTTTTATTTCACTTGAAAAACCAGATGGAACAAAAGGCCCCACGTGTTTGCAAGGCGAGATTCATCAAGAACGAGTATACTGGGGCTGGAGAGATGGCTCAGTGGTTAAGAGCACCGACTGCTCTTCCAGAGGTCCTGAGTTCAATTCCCAGCAACCGCATGGTGTCTCACAACCATCTGTAATGGGATCCGATGTTCTCTTCTGGTGTGTGTCTGAAGACAGCTACAGTGTACTCATATACATAAATAAATCTTAAAAAAAAAAAAAAAAAAGAACGAGTATACTGGCACACAGCTGTAATCCCTGCACTTGCAAGGCTGAGGTAGGAGGACAGAGGGTTCCAGGCTAACCCAAGCTTCCAGTGAGGCCTAAAACCAAGGGGAAGGAGTGCTGCTCACTCCAAGTTCACAATCTCTACCACACTTACCGCGGCTGCTTCCCGGTTTTCTCTTAGTATCTGGCTCAACTCATTCCTAGGTGTTATCTACTTGGCACTTGGGATTAAGATTCCAGTAGTCCAATTAAGCTGCTTAGGAGTGAGACACAGCAGACATGGGGAGAGTAGTGGAGTGTTGGTGAACGACTAGTGAGTTGAAGCACACTCCTGCTGGTGATGTCCCTTCAGCAGCCTCTGACCCACCCGCAGATATTCACTACTGTAAGGTTGGACCATGGTTCCTGTTTTGACTGAATGCTTACTAGAAGCAAGGCAATGTACTTAACATTATAGAAAATATGAACAGGAAAACAATCCCTACCCTTAGGAAACTACTAATAGCCTAATAAGGGAGACAAAGGATAAGCAGAGACAGTTACAGTGGGTACTGTTCAGGAAGGCCCTATTTAGAACACAAACTGGAAACTACCAAACACAGGAAGCTTCAAGACAGATCTCATGAGGCCGTTCTACAGCCCAAGTTGGCAAACATAAACAGGCAACAGTGAGCCCAGGAAGGGTTTTCAACCACAAGACTCAAGGAGAGACAGCGACTCTGAAGAGCAAGGTCTCTTCAGCTGCTCAGATTCTTTGATTCTAGGTACTACTTCTCTTCTCCTCTGGAGCCAGCATTACCACACCCCAAACACTGTATCTGTGTCTTTAAAATGTACCACCAACACTTTCTTGGTTGAAAGTTCAATATTTAAAGGGATAACAAAAAGATGGCACACAAAACAATAGCCCTGAAGACAGTTTTTCTCTCCCAAGTAGTCTGTTACATTATCACTACTGTGGCCATATTTATACTTTAAATGGAAACAATGTAACTGAAGCTTGTTAAAATAAAACTGTTTCAGGAGGGAGAGTCGCTCAGAGGTTTACATCACTTGTTGTACTTTTAGAAGACCCAAGTTGGGTTCCCAGCACCCATATAGTGGCTCATAACTATCTTAAACATCAGTTCTAGGACATCTGATGCCCTCTTCTGACCTCCACGGGTCCTAGGTACCCACAAGGTATACATATGTATATGCAGCCAAAAACAAAATAGATAGTTTAAAAAACAAAAAACAAAAACAACATAAGTAAACTGTTTCTATCTGGCTTAAGAATGTGAAGTTTTCCTCTTGTTAAAAAGAAACAAAAAAATTACTAGTGCTTATTGTGAATGAACACAAACAACTCGACTATCAATAACTCAAAAATCTAGTCAAGCAAAAGTCCACTGAAAACTGGGACCAAACGGCATTAAGTAAAGTAGCTGTCAGCATACATGGATCTGGATGACCCTAGTGTAGCTAAGGGAAGGGACTAGAGACTATGATCATCTTGTAATCAATAATAAATCCCAGGAATCACAAACAAGAAGCAAAAGGAAGGTTTTAGCACGTTTTCATCAATACTCTTAGCTGGCCAATTCCATCTCCAACGATTGTTCATTCTACCTGAGTTGTGTTTATATAAGGAGGCCAATCATAACCATGTGTTAAACAGGGTAGTGTTTGAGCACAACCATAAGTGGCACAGGAAGTGACACTTCAGATGCTTAATAAATAACAAATTTTATTAGTCACGGACAACGTTATTGTCCTCTTTATTCTGTAGGTGTCGAGGTGTCTTATGATGTCAATTCCCCACTGATCCTCTAAAACAGTTCTCAGGAAAATCACGTTACTGCTCTATTTCCGAGACTTCACAGACACAGGACCCTGATGACAACCTGAAGTCGAAACAGCCCCAGGTCTCTAGACTCTAGGTCCGCCAATACCTCTCTGTCCTTCCAAGGGCCCCGACTTTGGCGCGCAGCCCCGCCCCGCGAACCCCAACGCGCGGGGTGAAGGGGCGGTCCTCACCGCGCGTACTTAGCTCTCAGGGATGGGGTTGGGGGAGGCCCGGCCAAGCCCCAGCCTCTGCCTGCCGGCCTTCCCCTACCTCGGCCTACCCCGGACTACGCCTGCCCTCTTGCCGCCCGCCGCCGCGCCGCCCACGGCCGCACCTTGAGGTGGGTGCGCAGGCCGCCTGCGCCCCCAGACTGGTCGGTGATCTCGTAGGCGCCCGTCACCAGCAGGTCCTTGTGGATCTCCTCGCGGAGACACTTGCGAGAGTTCACGGGCAGATGGAAGGAGATGCCGAGAACCGAGCTGGGAACGAGCAGGAACAGAAAGAGCAAGGCGGACAGGAGAGGGCCAGGCCAGGATAGTGGGCCAGACAAACCAGACATGGTGCCGGAGCCTCGTTCTCCACCCGGGGCCTCTAGCGCGCCGGAACCGGGAGGAACCACGTGACTCGCCTCTGACCTGGCGAGGCCGTCGGCGCCATTTTGGAGATTGGCTAAGCAGAAAAGGAACGTAAAGCAAATAATTTTTAAAAGGAAGAAAAGATTTGGTAGTATGTCATAACGACTGGTTTAGGGGGCTATAGAGAAGTTCCCAGGAGTTTTTCGTACAAGTTTCATTTTTTATTGTGGTGAAAGACTTCTGAGTGAACCATAGTAAGTATGGGCAGCCCCGGAAGTAGTTGTTTTAAGCCCCCGGAAGTGGTTCATACGAGTTTTTAAAATTCGGTGACACCATAGCAACCAGGCCCCAATAAGAAACAGCCACAAGGCCTTTCTCTGGACCCGCCCACCGGCTGCGTAGACTCCGGGCCAAGGCACAAAATGAATTTCTGTGTTCTCACGCTTACTGTGATAGATGTTGGGACAGTGAAGCACTGAAGAGGAAAAACACAAAAGAAAATTTTAATTTGGCTTTTAGTGAGTGTGGGCCACTAACTCAGAGAAGAATGCGTAGAGGTCAACAGGTGGATGTGAATTGGCAGGTATCCAGTTAATGCCCCCGAACGGAGTATTGGGCCTGGTGCAAGTTTGGTATTCATAGTGCATTTATTTATTTAAGAAACATTAATAGTCTTCTGAGATAAGCTGCACTCAAACCAACATTTAAATTTTATGCTCATCTCTGACTGGACCAAAACAAAAGATGAGCTTTGTCAGAGAGAAGAAATGGCGTATTTCCAAATCATGTTCTGTACCTCCAATAGTTTTTTTGTTTTTATTGTTGGTTTGGTTTGGCTTTTTGAGACAGGGTTTCTTTGCGTAGCCCTGGCTCTCCTAGAACTCTTTCTATAGTCCAGACTGGCCTCGAACTTACCTGCCTCTGCCTTCTAAGTGCTGGGTTTAAAGGTATGCACCACTGCCCTATTCTTCTGTAGTAAGCTGATTTATATAGGAATAGTTCATTCGTTAGTAAGTCTTGATTACCTACTGTGTGCTAGAGACACTACACTCAATATGTCTAATGTGTTTATTAAGGAACATCCTATGTGCTCAATAGACTTAGCACCAAGCAGTGGGGATACACACCTTTAATGCCACCAGAGCTACACAGAGAAACCCTGTCTTGAAAATCCAAAAAGCAAACAAACACACAAGCAAAATTCATATCTATAAAATAAATAAATATATCAATAGACTTAGTAATCTTAGTTTAATCAGGAATAAAGTAATCAAACTAAATATTCCTTAACAAAATAATTACTATATAGTATTTGTCAATTCAAAAAATATTTATTTAGTGCCTGGCAGAGTGGCACACACCTTTAGTCCCAGCACTCAGGAAGCAGAGACACATGCATCTCCTTGAATGGAGGCCACCCTAGTCTACATATTGGGTTCCAGGACAGCCAGAGCTACATAGTGAGACAGTGTCTTGGCGGAATCAAAACAAAAGTTTAGCATCTTTATGTTACAGTCATAACAAGTGTTATGGAGCTGAAAATATACCAGGAACCACGCTCAATAGAACATGCCTGTAATCCCAGGGTTTGAGAGGCTGAGGGAGGAGGATGGCCTTGAGATTGAAGCCAACTTGGACTATATAGTGAGATTTGAGACATTTTGTACATGTCTCAAAAAGCAGATACCGCAATACCATAGAATAAACAATAGCCTATGTGTGTAACTGTAATCCACTTTAATTAATGTCTCTTGAACAATAGCAAAAATATCAGAAGATGACTTTTCTGCCCCTAGTAATTTAGAGGGTTGTTCTTTTGTTTCGTTTCATTTTTTTTTTTTTAATAACTCCTTTCTTTCTACCTGGTTCTTTTCCTGGAACAGAAGTCTGAAAACAAAGTAAGCACAAACATAATAGAGTTGTTAAACATTTTAAAATCTAGCAAATACTATATAATATTTTGTGAGGTGTCCACTTAGGAACATTCCGTTTGATTGTTTTAATCCTCATCTAAGCTACGATTGGTAGTCTACTGAATATATCTTGATAATTTGCATAGCATCTCCCCCCTGAATGCAGGAGAATTGACATAATTATTCTAATCCACTGTTCACTCAAGTTTTAGGGATCTTCTGACCATTTGTGAGAGATTTGCAACCTGTAAATTACCTGTGCGTGTGTCTTCTTTACCTTTTCATCTTACCTTTTATACAATAGATCACATTTTTAAATGTCTTCTCTTGTTTTTCTTTTTCCTTTTGAGACAGGCTCTTTCGACCCAGGCTGGCCTGGGACTGGAAGCGATCCCCCATCTCTGCCTGCTAAGTGCGGGTATCCACCACCAGACATGGCCTAGTTCACATAGCTCAGTGGTCTTATCTGATATTTTCAAAAGCCCTGTAGGATAATTTAGACATTTCCATTTCCCAGATAAGGAAACTGAGGGTATGAGATGCTAAAAAAACTTGGGTGGTATTTTAAAAGGCATTGGTGTCACTTAGCTTGGAGAACTGCGACACTTTATTCAAGGGAACTATGGAGACCGAAGTATATCACAGTGATATAATGAAATTGTATAGTAGGGGAGAGAACTTCATTTCAACTCCTAATACAAGGAAAATTAGGACTTTATGGGGGATGGAGGCTTAGTCACAAGGTAGAAAACTAAGAGGAAATATTTGGAATAAGGAGAATTTCTGGTTAAACTGACTTAGCAGCATTCTGTAGGTGAACAATGCTCAGGGCATAAAATCCCAAAAAGGACCTAGTTGAGAAATAGTTCAGAGTAGCGTAAATTTAGAATCTGTCAATATTCAGAATCCCAGGGGCCAGTGAGAGAGCCAAGGGTAAGGTGGTACCTGTTGTGCAGCTTAAAACAGACACTAGACCAACCGGTTCCAAGGGGGGAGGGGGCTCGGGCTCTTCAGGGCAAAGGTTGGGGGAGAGAAATAGAAGAAGCTGGCAGAGGAAGAGAGAAAGGTCAGGGGGCTCTGCCTGTGTGATATGGGCGGTGCCGTAGCCTCTCCCAGGTAAAGGTGAAGTAGCCAGGTGGATTCTGGGAGTGTATGGTGGTTGCCTTGGCAACGAAGTGGGGGTCGCCTAGATGTGATGTCACTGGGTTTGAGCCTGATACCAACACACATGGCAGAGGAGAAAACCAGAAGTTGTTCTTTGGCTTCTACCCTTCCACATAGATGATAGATAGGTAGGTAGGTAGATAGATAGATAGATAGATAGATAGATAGATAGATAGATAGATGTAAAGCAACAATAACTCAATCCCATAGTTTAAAAGTGATGAAGGGCCAGGTGTGGAGGTAGTTATTCTTAGTCCCAGCACTAGGAGGCAGAGGCAGGCAGATCTCGGTGAGTTCAAGGGCCGCCTGGTCTGTACGTTGAATTTCAGGACAGCCAGATTGTCATATCTGTGTGAAGACCCTGTATCAGGAAAAGAAAAAGTGACAAAGGTCAGAGGCATCTTCCGGAGGACACTATAGTACTTTGCAAATGGAGAAACTGAGGCTGAAAACTCGAGTTCCTTCCTGTATCGCACAGAGCTCTTGAACCCGTCTGGTCCTGGGTTTTCACACTTTCCCCTTGGCCCTGCCTTCTCTCATTTGTTTCCCCTCTCAGCTCCCATTCTTCCTATTTCCTGTATTCACTTCTCTGCCTCCCTAGCGCTGTTTCTGTTTGGTAAGGACAAGGATTTTTGTCTAGTTTTGTTCGTTGCTTTCTCTTCTTAACCCAAAATAATGCTGCCCTGCAGGCACAGCAGGTGCTGGCTCCAGAAAGGCAAGCCTGGTCCCTGCCTAACAGCGAACACCCCCCCTTTGTTCTCTAGCCATTGTCACACCAATTGATTGAATACATGATGTGTCTAAACTGCAATCCTGACTTCAGTTTCACCAACATTATGCACATTTTTTTTTTTTTGCTTTTGTTTCTTTGGGACAGGGTCTCCATATTTAACCCAGATGGTGAACTCCAGCCTCCTGAGTGCCAGAATTGCAGACATGTTCAACCACACCTAGCTATTTTCCCCCTTATTGGAAAATGTGTCTATACAAGGACACAGAATAACAAGAATAACAAAATCTCTTCTGGAGAGCTGGAAATACTCTAGGGAACCGAACCATTTTCTGTTTTGTTTTGGTTTGTTTTCCAGACAGAATTTCTCTGTGTAGTCTCGACTAACCTGGAACTCACTCTGTAGACCAGGCTGCCCTCAAACTCAGAGATCTGCCTGCCTCTGCCTCCCACCACCAACCAGTGGGAACCAAAACTTTAAGCTCTGAACCTGCATTGAAGAAGGTTCCTTCTTTCATGCATGAGGGAATGGCCTCATTGGAACTGGTGATGGAATAGAAAGTGTGCCATAGCCAGAGTAAACGCTTCTTCCCAACCAGCAGTCCTGGGCTGTCACGTCTATCATCTGAAACTTGCCCAGCCAGATACACCTAAAATCCCTGAGCCACAGAAGCCTTTGGGGGTTAAGAAACATCTAGTGTATCCCTAGGCCACATATTTGTAAGCTTTTCTTTCATATAAGAAGGAGCATGCTTAAAACACCCCTCACTCAGACAGTGAATCGGAAGCCCTTATTAAAATTTGTCATTTTGGGGCTGGCACAGTGACAAATGCCTTTACTCCCAGCACTTGGGAGGCAAAAACAAGTGGATCTCACTTTTGAGGCTAGCCTGGCCTACATGGTAAGTTCCAAGCCAGACAGGATTACAAATTTGTTGGGTGCTTCTGTATTTGGAAAGCACTTTGGGCCTCTCGGGCCACCCACTTTAACCAGCTAACCTTCCAGTTAACTTGAGTTTTCCGGACACCAACCTACAAGGATCCTTGGCTCCCCACACCCCTTCCCAATCACGGGTAAAGTCCTCGGCACAGTGTATATTTACAGAGCCAACACAAGCTAGTTTCTGTGGAAATACAAAAGACCCCTTTGGAAAGCAGTTTGGCAGTATTTGCCATGTGTCATATTCTCTGACACAGAGACGGATCCCAAGG